TTAAGTAAAAACTGTCGTGGTTTGGTTTTTCTATGTTAAATACTTTCCTAGGTGCTTTGGCCGCAGTTGCTTTGACCATAGGGGTTGACCACCGCGGATCTTTGACTGTAGGTAGTTTGACCATAGGGCTTTGTCCACAGCGGGATATTAACTACAGATGAGTTTTGACCATAGGGGGTTTGACCACTGCGTGGTTTTGACTACAGAGGAGAGGGGTTAATCATAGTATATAGATTTTAAAATAGAAATCATAAACAGTTTTTTATACATGTCTCCCGCGAGTTCTTTCATATAAATTAACTTTTACTAAAAATAGTCAATAACGATATTTTAGTCTCCACATAAAGGCTAGTGGTTGCCTCATAGATTTATTTTAAATATAAATAGAACACAAATAATAGTACACCTATGTAAGTTATGTATGGGACGGTGTGGCCTAAAGATAGGCGCTAGGCTGCTAATTCAGATCATAATCACATTATTCCTTCATATTTAACTTCATTTATGTTCGACACGAATAAAAATAACTGATTTACGAGTCATTCCAGTTGAAATAGGTATCTCAAACTCGTTAGGGAAAGTAAATGCAGCTGAGCATAGTGCTAATCACATTATCCCGTGTTATGCCGAGGTCAAGAAACAAATGAACATCTGCCCAATCGATTGCTAGGTCTAAAGAGGAATCTTTACTTTATGTTCAATGGGTAAAAAATAACCCCAGAAGGTGGGAGGGTGGGGTAAAGCTCAACATGCTTGTCTTTGTTAAAATTCACTAGGGTCTATCTTATAAAAATGTCGAGTTGGGTTTATTACCTTCTGATAAACTACTGTTTATCGCTGCTAGGTAGTTAAGATACGAGCCTTGGTTTTTTTATGACCTGCCCTCTTGTATGATCTGTACCCACAACGCATTGTCTGGAATGTTTGCTTTGCGCCTTGTTTTTATCAATCTGATGTGTGTGTGTGCGTGCGTGTGTGTGTGTGTGTGTGTTTAATCTAGGGTTCAACACATCTAGAGCTGACTGTTTCCAGTGTTAGTTTAGTCTTGAGGTCCTAAATACCCAGTTTATTTTTGTTTCTTGGAGTTTTCGTTTACGTGTTGTTTTGTGTGGAGGTTTGAATAGTCTCGGAAAGTAAATGTTATTTATTACTATTCTAGATTTGACAGGCGCAGACACACAACACCATCACCCCACACACATATATGTAGATGGCTTTAGATTAATACAACGTTATATTCGTATTCCAGAAAGCTGTAATGGTAGAAAACAATTTCATTGCCATATTTCTTACCTTTATTATATATATATATATATATATATATATATATATATATATATATATATATATATATATATATATATATATATTAATATATATATATTCCCCCATCGCATATCAGTATCAAAAAACATTTATCCAATGCATTTTCGACGCCCTTTCAAAATTAAATATAGATTTTTTTATCATTCGTAAATTAAACAAATGAGGCCATATTATTTATTCCACGTCTGTCCGATCAGATAATTAGAGATTAGCATTTTGAGTTTAAATTATGTATACATGTTGTTCAACGTGAATACATGTCTTGTATTTACTGAGGTATATAGTATCTTCGTCTTAAACAATTTCGTAGTCCTGCAAGTATTATTCATCACAAATAAGACGTATAATTTCCCATTCTATCACTAGTTCCGTTATTTTAATATTCTATTTTTATGCTAGATCATTAGCTGCGTTTAAATTTGTTTAATTAAGATTAAAGTGTATTTATTAAATTCAATTTAGAATATACTAGCAGATTATGTTTTCAATAAAAATGCATATATTTAAGCCCTAAAAGGGGATAACCTCATTTATATTGGTTGTGAGTTATCACAGCTTGTCAAGAGATCGAGAAAGTGCAATATAATACATATTTCTTATATTTGTATATTTGAATTATATTTTTAATCGGGTTTCTTTGAGTAAGGATTGTATATGTTTACATCGTGCTATTTATAGTGATGTTGTTATTTAATTTTCAATTTACCTGTTACACTTACTTTTACCTCTATTCTCTAAGTGCATAATGTCATTATTATATTCGAATTTTCAAACATATACAGTTCTATGTATTTCTTGTTACAGATTTTTTTTTTAAAACTAATGAAGAATGAAATTTACAAAGATTACCAATAGAAACATCTTCTTAATTGTTGGATTTATGATCGTGTATTGTTCGGTACTATATCTCTTTAAATGGTCAGTAAAAAAAAAATATTGTTACCATGCAATTTATAAAATATTGTAACATTATTAATATCAATAACTACATTTTGTAAAGATATTTGTCGTTAAGAAATCTAATAAAAGACAAGTAATTTTTTATCTTTAAAATAACAGGCAGCAGATGTTAAATTTTGCTCCTAAGGCCACACCACTATACAAAAAAGAAACGAGGCTTCTTCATGGAGAATTTGACGTCTATTTTTATCAAGCGATTGAGGGAGAATTCTGGGACGATAGTCCGATAGATATCTATGAAGCTTTTGCTCAACATTCCTACAAGACTTTAGAGACGTGTAACAATACTTGTCATGCAGTTAACCTTGTGTGTACAGTTACAAGTACAAAGGAATTTAACGGACTAATAGCAAAAGGTTTGATGGTACCTAAACCGTTCCTTGCAAGAGGGCAGTTTATTTTTGATTGGGAGAAAAAATATTTGAGTTATCCCCCTTTGAACGATATTAAAACGCTGCCAGATTTGAAGTTGTCTAAAGTGACAGTTCAAAACACAAGACAAGGTGTGGCCAGGTGTAAGATACTTGAAACTATACACGGTCGTCTGGATGTCGTGGATGGGTACGGGCGTCAGAGAACCAATGGAGACGATGTAGTCAGGGTTTGGATGAAGGGCAGTAATTCAACTGGATATGCTGTAGTAGGTGATGTCTTGGATCTAAAAAATGGCAGCTATGTTTTCAATGTCAAATGTCTCTGGGCTGGATTATCTTCGGTAACATATTTTTTTTATTTTGTTTAAATTATGTTTTTTTTTTTTTAAAAAAACAACTTTTATAATCACAAGCTCTTATTTTTGCCGAGAAAAAATAAAGCAAAGTATTTTTTTTTATATTTAATAATGCACCACTGATTTGTAGATAAAGTAAATTTGTATATTAAGTATATGAAATCCTTAGCACAATAGGCTTTAAAAGTTGGTTAAATTATTTTTCCACCAAAGTTGAATATTTGATAACATTTGAGAAATAAGTACAAAATGGTTTTACTAAGGCTAGAAATATTCTAATAAATTTCTTGGATCCAAAAACTAAAAATGGCAGCTATGTTTTTAATGTAAAATGTCTCTAGACTGTTATTTTCGGTAACGTAATTTTTTTTTTTAATTTATTAAAAAATTTTTTTATTAAAACCTTATAATTAAAGATTTATTTCTGTCATAAAAAAGAAAACAAAGTTGTTTTTTAAAGTAATATTACATCACTGTTTTTATTACAATTTTAGAAAGAGTAGATTTGTAAAATTATGATTTTAAAACCCTTAGTACAACAGGCTTGAAAAGTTGGTTTCAAAGGGTTGTTGCCAGAAAGCATATTTTCCAACCAAAGTTGAATATTTTATAACATTTGAGAAATAACTACAAAATGACTTCCGGTTTTACTAATACTAGAAATATTCAAACACATAATTTTTAGTAATATAATACTTATTTAGCTAAAACTTTAATTTTTTAATGAGGTAAGGGTTTTGGTGTGATAAGGAATGTTATATTATTTAATACAAATAAACTATTAGGCTACCCCATTGACCACTATTTTGAATTTTATCACGGAAAACTATTGTTGTGATTTTCATAGTTTGACTTCAACGAGGTATTGAGGGCAGATTTTTTAAATATTTCATAATTCTAAACGGCTTTTCAATGGTTTATATTCAATGAAAAAAAAATTAGTATAATGGGTGGTTCCTAAATGGCTTTAATGTGTTTTTTTAAATACGACTATAATTTTATCGCTTACCATATTTTTTATTTTTTTAGTATAATTACATAGACTTTGCAAGTACATTATATGTACTCGAAATAATAAGTAAAGGCCTACAGTAATTTTTAAATATATTTTTTAATAAATCAGAAATTGAATTGTATCATAGTTATTTTCACATTAAATTGTCACTGCGCCTTGACTTGGAATGAATAAGCTCAGTACTAAAAATCTGTAGAAGTAAGTAAAAATTCGTTGTCTTGTTTTGTTTTAAGGCGGAAATAAGATAACAGCAAAAGGAATCGTGTTAAATGAAAGCTTGTCATGTTAAAGAGATTCAGAAAATTGTGTTATTCATTAACAATTGAATTTTAGGATTGCTATTCAATACATTTTAATACAGTAGGCACATTTAAAACTGAATTTTTTAACTCTTTAAGCCCGTAATTATTTTCACGTTTTACCGGAATTATTTTTTTCCACTCATTTTTTTTCAGTACCCCTGCGGCTAAATGACCCATATCTTTTTACCCGTTAATTTAAGCCCCACACATTATTGATAAAAATTAATCGTAATTGAATACCCTACACACTGATATAAACTTTAAGGAATTATTTATTTATTGAAGAAAGATAATTTCTTAGTTTTAAAGAAGAAAAAATAAAGAGTTGATTTTTTCGTGCAAAAATTACGCTTCTGACTGGAAAATTAATAATAAAAATTAATTTTCATGAGTTCGTATTAATAGAAAACGAAAGTACGTCCATTTATCTACAAAAATCATGGATTGGATTAGTCTTAGTATAAATACTTTAATTTTCGTTAATTTTATAATGCGGCGACGTAAACGTTTAGACGCGGCCGCTGAACGGCATTCCGCAGTGTTAAAAAATGCCGTTTTTCGAGTTGTTTTACAAAAAAAATTCTATAAAATACAAAATCGATCTAACGAGAAAACTACAAGAAGTAAATACAACGAAAAATGGCCGCTCTAGTGTTATCATGACCTAGATTTACGATTAAAAACTTGGATTCCGAAAAATAACGAATTAAATAGAGAAATATTTATCGGACGCTGGGAGCGTCGTTACGGTATGGCAGGCCGGCGGACCGACCGCTGGGAGCGTCGTTACGGTCTTAAAGAGTTAAAACGTTTTTTTTTTTAAATAAAATGTTCGAGTACAGACAGATGTTATAAAAAGATGTGGTAAAGGATCTAATCACTGACCCAAGTTTTTATCAAAGAAAACAACTTTGTTCTTTTTTTTTCAATGGATTTTAATTTTTTGTATTCTAAAGATTTTTGTTTTTTTTTTTTAAGCTTTTCAGCATATCGCTACGAGTATAAATATTTGAATTAAAACGAGATCACAAGCTTAAAACTTCCTCTTTAGACCTATCGTTGCATTGGGCAGATGAATTAGAGTTTATATGCTTCTTGACATCGGCATCTGAAGGGATAGTGTGGTTAGCAATATGTCTTTACTTTCCTTAACTCGAGTTAGGTACCCATCAGTGCTTGGTGGACTCGGGACCATTCTACTGACTAGAACCCGGATTTAAACCCGAGTCTTTCTGGTTAGCAGGATAGCTCTCTACCGCAAGGCCACTCTGTCCCGCTGTTAAGTAGCTTGCCATTTCTTTTTTGTCCGTGATTGACTCTCCTACCAATAGCTGATAGAGTGATCACTAATATTCAATCTTTATAAATTAATTTAATAATTTTTAATTTAATGCTGTTGACTAACCAAAGGTCAAATTTGATTTTTAAAATACATATTTTTGCATTGTCACCGGATACAGTTTGAACGAAATCACTTTAGAAGTGGTGGGTCAAAATTAAGTTACAATATTTGCTACACTCCACACCAAAAAAAAAAACACACAGTGAACTACATAAAAGCTTATAACGAAGCATGCCAAATTTTTTAAATAATTTACTAAACATTTCTACTTTCATTTAGAAATAAAAACAGTAATTTCTTAACTAAGCATAGCAGCCATTCAACGTTGAATATATGCGAAAACATATAGGCCCTACAAATACAAATGATGTGTATGCTAGAGCAGCATATATTGAAAGCGATGTAATCACAGCAATCATATTTTCTTCTTCTTCGTTCTTAATTATTAGTGTTGTAGGTGATCGAGATTTATCTGCCAGTGGGTTTGAACTCGAGACTTTGTTCGAATTTATCAACCATGAGCTTTTTGCCGACTCGACCACGCCTCCAACACAGTTAAGCGTTACGTGTCAACTGGTTATGCGCCATTGAGGCCATTGACTCCGATTTCAGCCTGCTTTTCTTTTTGGATTTGCTTCCATAGCCTTTGTCCAACCAAGAACAAACTACAAGGCAGCAGTTGTTTAAATTTGGAGTTGTCTCTCCTAGAAGAGTGGCTGTCCCCAGCTAACGAGCCTCATCTGCCCAAAGCAATCATATAAAATAGTTTATGCTAGCAAAACAAACAGAAAGTATGCTAGCTACGAAAGCATAAATAGGCGAATGATTCTAAATGTGATAGTTCACGCTAGAGTCTTATGATAATTTTATTTTTCTAATCTTTAGCTTCACGTGGCCATCGCCTACCCGCGTGAATTCATCAGGACAGTCATCCACCAGGTTCACATTGGGGCAACAAGATTTATGGCCGCCACATTTAAAAAGGGAAACTATAGTGAGGTAAATGCTGGAGAAATAAAACTATATTTATTACTACCGCATTGATTATTATATGTTAATTTTCATAATTAAAATAGAATAAACCGGGAGTGATCTCCCCTAAACTTTCTCGAATATTCTTATATAAAACAACAGGGGATGGAAACTCGGGCTATAGACATGATTTTTAATCCATTTTAAATATTTAAAGTTTTAAAAATAGAATAAAATCTTGTAGACAAAAGAATTGCACACCAAGTGAACGCCAAATAAAAAAGTACATAATAGTGCGCAATATTATAAGTACTTTAAAAATTTACATTAGTTTTTTGAGAAATCGGAAGTAGCGTAAATTTCTACTTCCGGTCAACGGGAATTACTCAAAATTCAACAGAAGGTAGAAAGTTAGATCTTTTACTCACATGTGAAATTTCATTTATCCATCTGAAATAGTACTCAAGTTATAGGCTTTTGAAAAACTCAAAGTAGAAAAAGTACCACTTCCGGTTATCGGAAATGGCTCAAAAGTTGATACGGATCTACGATTTTGATAAAATACTTATATATGAAATTTCATCAACCTAGCTGTACTCAACGGTACTCAAGTAATCGTGTTTACACACACACAGACAGACACACAGACATACGGACAGAATTGCAAAGCCCAGTTTTTCTGAATGGATTACGCATAAAACCTCTTAATTTTGATATATCTGGATTGATAATTTTTGCCCGATTAAAATAAGTCATCTATACTTCGGATGTGATGAAGGACTGAGGTGTAATACGGTCAAAATTGTTAAAATTTCAAGAGATTTTTGTGCACGATTACAATACTTTCTCTATA